GTTTGGTAAAATTGAAAGTTGAAATTTGAAAGTTAAAAATTAAAAGTTGAATGCTGAATTTGTGAAATGTTTAGTATTTACTGAAATTTAAGTACTGAATTCAACTAAATTGTTTGATAACTATACAGATCTGATGTTTGAAAATAAATTAATTTTTAGTTTTACCCTTCTATTTTTTAATATGAAAATATGTATAAAATATGTCATAACATAAATTATAATCGCTATTATGATATTATAATCTACATTTAATAAATATTTGATCAAAAATATAAATAAAAATAAATAACATCTGAATAACATAATAAATGAACAATAATAAATTGAATAATATAATAAGTTAACAATAATATCTGATAAAAAAAGAACAATAACTAATAAGTAATCAAATAATATTGAAAAAATACAATAAATTAAATTTCATTAACAATATGTGTGTGCGCCATGTTTGTGTGTGTGTACAGTGCATATGTTTGTGTGTAATTGTATGTGTGCAGTGCGTGCGTTTGTCTGTGTAATTATAATTGTATATGTATATTTTTGTTACAGAAGACAAGGGAAAGATAAAAAAAAAAGAGATCGACAAGAAAAATATATAGGTTAGGGGTTTTGAAGAGAAGGCTAATTAGAGTTTTAATATAATTGTAAAATATTTTAGGGTATAATTATTATATTGTAAATATTATTAAATATGATTTTGCTGAACGCTTTCAGTTTTTTAGAATTAATTAAGGGATTTCTTATTTAATATTGTAGCCTACTTTTAAGAAACGCTTAACATATTAAGAGAGTTTAAATTTTAGTTATCAAATGAGTTTAATTAATAAGTGTTGAATACATTTATTTTAAGTGCTGAATTTGAATTAATAAACACACCTTAATCTAGCTCTTTATTTTAGTTACTTAAAATATATTTAAATATTATATTTCTTATTTTAGGAAATTATTTTTATAAATTCACTTCAATAACGCTATCTATTTTAACTAATTATTTTAACTAATTTTTAATAATTTAAATCGAAAATGTCATATAGCCTACCATGTCATTAACATATTTTTAATAGTCATATTTAACCTAAAATTCAACCAAAATTTAAATCAATTTAAACCAATAGAGTTCTCAACATGGAAGAGGGGGAGGGGTTTCGATTTTGTCCGACAAGTTGAGAGAAAAAAAAAAAGAGATCAGTTTTGGTTTAGTCAGATAAGTTGAGAGAAAAAAAAAAAAAGATAAAATTGATTGAACAAGAGAGAGAGAGAGAGAGAGAGAGAAGTGAAAGGGTGTTTTGGCGAGGTTTAAGGGCTCGCTAGATTTGGAAAGCTAATTTGGTGAAATGAAAAAATGCAAATGTTCGTAATCATATTTTGCACACAAAACAATTGATTTCGCGACTTTACCATTCTGCCGAGACCTGCCCTCAAATATAGCACCCATAGGTCATGACTTTTATTACCATGATAGTCAAAGTGAAGAGAAGCCTTCGGGGGCATGCTTTGCTAATTTTGGAAATCCATATAAAGTGGCACCACAGTGAGAGATTTTTTTTTTCAACTGTTGACATATTTGAATCAGTTTACACATATTTCAATTAATTCTTTCTCTGGTATAATCAAAGGCAGGTCATTCACTAAAGAATTACGGTATTTATGGGTGATAATTCTCTCTTGACTTGATCCCAAGAAATTGTCAAAATTTAAATTCAGAACGCCTGAATTTACAACTCATTTTCATCTCCACTTGAATTACCCTCGTCCAAACTTTATTCACACTTAAAGACAGTTGGACCAATCTGGTACGCTATTTACACATCATGGTTTCGACCTTAGGGAGCCATGGCTAAAGTTTGTCACTGTTTTGGACGTCATTTGTACATGTAAATGATATTTGGATGCTGACTTGTCAAGGACAAGATTTAAAGAGAAGTCCATCCCCCCATTGCTTTGCTTATGAGGTTAGGAAACACTTGCTCTTATTAGCTCCCTTGGTATATACTATATATAGTACATAACACAAGAGTACTACTTGAAGTTACAAACCACTCTAATGTGTTCAGTTTTTGGACAAGAATTTCAATTCTCTGGTTGAAGTTAAACAAAATAAATATCTCATTCCAATCTAAATTTCGTTAATACTCGAATTGGAGTCTTGGATTTTTTAAACCCAAAATCTAAATTCTATACTCAAAGTTTGTGGAATCTTGTAATTCATCTTGATTTGAACCTGAATTTCACTTTTGTTAACTAGAATTCGAAAATTTAAATGTGGGCTATATTGAAATATTAAAATTTTGTTTTAAAACAATCAAAACTTTTTTTACTTTCAAGGAGATCGAAACGAATCAGTAATTGAATCAAAATTCTAATATTTTGAGACCAAAATTCTAATGCATTTACACAATTGTTTCAAAACGTTTTAAGGTGTTTTAAGATTTTTGGGTATATTTCGACCAATATTTGAAAAAAATAATTCTTAAAATTTTTATTCATTTTTATTTTATTTTTGAAACGGATCGAAATATTTCAATTTCTTAGTGACCGAATCAATGAACCGAAACAAAAATTTAATCATTGACTATATTCGAGTTGAGAGTTTTATAACTTAGGTTGAATTGGAGTTAATCTCTCAACTTTCCAAATAAATTGAATTTGCAACCCATGGGTCTATTCCCGGTGAACCCATAACCGTGCTATGGAGAGATCCAATTGAAACTACACTGGACGGACGTTGAAGGAAGAAATATGGCAAGCCCTACGCCAATAAAGGTGCAGTTAAAAGAAAATCAGTACTTGTCTCTACAAAAGTAAGCCACTGCGGACCCAAAGCGATGGGTGGCCAGTGATTCACTTGGAGCTAATGTGGCGTTCTTGCTTTATCAACCTCCAAAAAAAAAGGTGTTATTAAAAGCGTAACTGAAACCAGAAAAACCAGAAAGAGAGAGATTTGGGTAGCATGTTCAACACGTGTCTTGTTCGCCAACAAGTGACTTTATGTTACTTTCTTTGTGCTGTAAACTTATCACTTGAAATTCTTTTCCAAAAGCACTGTTTTTGGTGTTGGATTCTAGAAAAAGTTCTCAAAAAACTAATTACTTTTGTACACCAACTGTTTTAAAAACTTTATGTTAGTGGAAAAGAATGTAACATGTCTCCTCTTTGGCTAATTTATCTTTGTTATTATTTTTTTCTTTTTTATTATAAAGGAAAAGGATTGGTGTGATTTGAATTTCATGTCTCTATTAAGATTAATAATCAAATCCAGTTTTATGAATTCGAATCGAACCTGTCGAGCTAATTTTTTTAAACGAGTTTAAAAAATTATTCAAATTTAACTCGTTTAGAACACCTAAAATGAGTTGATCCTAAAAGGAGTCAAATTCGAGTAGCTCGACTATTTTATAGATAAACGAGTCGAGGTTTTTTAAATGAGTCTAAAATATTGTTCAAATTCATCTCGTTTAGAACACAAACTGAACTTGAGTCGAGTCTTATTCGATAAGCCTTACTATCAGCCTTAGACCTGATACCATAGTGACTACCAATTATTCTAAAAACTTAAACTAACTAGAAAATATGTAAAATGTTTATTTATCCAACAATTACTTACCCTTCAACCCTCTCAAAGAATTTCTAGACAATCATGAATAATCTTCTCTCTCTCTCTCTGTTAAAAAGTTTCCTGTTAAGTAAGAAAGATCTAGATTGGAAGTGGCATCACTCTCCAACATAGCTGGAATATAAAGGATATGAAGAGATAACGACCAAGGAAACATAGTATTTAATTTGTGAGCCCAAAGATGTATATCAAAACTTGAACCAACCGAACACCTTTAATCGTCCAATCCAAAGCAATAATCGAAGTTTGGGACCCTCATAAACAAATTGATCATGATGAGTTTTTGAGCTACATGTATATATGTAACTACATTCCAAAAAAATGATGTAGTGTAGAACTTACGTGTTTCCCCTAAAAATAGTGTTGAGGAATTGTGTTCCATTCAGCGGAGAAGGGACATAAATGAACCGTAAATTTTGATGTTTTTAGTTTAAATTTTAGCAATCATTTGAGGTCTTTATGATTCCATATCGAAGATCAAAAAAAAAAGTAATATTATTGGGACCTAATTTATAGATCTAATTCACTATGATATTTGGATTGATCGTGGGTTCTATTAAACATTAGAACTTTGTGTTGATCTAATAATTCCACTGAAACCATATCGTCAAATTTTTAAGTCCACATAGAATTACTCAAAAAAAAAAAAAATTATTTTCTTGAACATTAAGCCATGAGACGAGAGACACATATTCAAGAGTTCACACTTTGCATTGAAATGATTTGGTAGACCACCTCTCTTTCATTGATTTGTCAAAGTAATGTTACGTTGATCAAATTTTAAAGTTAAATTAAAAGTTTAAATGACATGACAGTATATTATTTAGAACTTTTATTAGGGTTTAAAAAATATGACGTCAAATAAAAAAGTTCAAATCAACTGTCATATAACCTCTTAATTTAGTTCAAAAATTTGTCATGTACGTTCTTTTTGTAAAACTTGATGATTGGGTCGGATATAAAGCCATTGCACCACGTTAGATGGGAAATTAAGCATCAGATAGGATATATAATCATGATCAAATGAATACCCTTTTCCCTCTCTCTCTCCCCTTATACATACAAAGGGCGCATTTCATGGGGGGGGGGGGGGAGGAACAATGGAATTTATTCAAATCAGTATAGCTAGGGACCACATAACTCTTATTGCGGATACCATAATACTTTTTGAGGCCAAATTTTACTTTTTAAAGAAGAAATTACAATTGATAAGGGACGTTTATGATTGATCATAACATTTAATGATGGATCATGAAATTACTTCAAACAATTATAATTTCACTTTTAAAAGCTGTCACTCGATTTCAAAAGATAAGAAACTTAAATCCGGTGTCAATTTTTTTTGGATACTTTAGAATTACCCTTTATAAACAGTGGTATCAACAGTAAAATTAACAAAGAACAAGATATAAAACGGTAAGTTTAACTGTAAAAACAGAAAACGATAATAACATTAAGAAGAATCATACAGTTACTCTGTTATTTTTTTACATCAATATGGCTAGTCTAGGTTTAACAACCACAAGCTAATCTCTAGGACTTTGTGCTAAAGACTTTAAAGTCAAAATGGACAGTAACAGAGAATCTACATCAGATCTAGTCATATTTGGTCGGTTATCTATGTCTTTTTGTGTCTCTGTTGTCTTCTTCTACCAGAGATTTTCTGAATGCCCTTTATTCATGTTCCACAGACTCCACAATCCACTTGACTTTGAACCAGAGCCTTGAGTTGATGAACCATTATACTTGATACTAAAGAATAAGAAGATTTTTGTACTATGCCACCCCCTTCTTTCATCCATTTTTTTGGTGCAGTGAAATCCTCATACTAACTGGAAAAGTTCAAGAGAAAGAGCAAAAGTCGGTCAGTAAAAAAAGCTAGGAACATATTATTGGAGAACCATTACAATGCCTACTTCAATTTCGTACTAAAAATTACTACAAAATAACAATGAAATTACAAACCCATTTGATGAAGTTACGATTCAATTTAATTCAAGTTACAATCCCATAAGATTAAGTTGTCATTTAAAAAATTGAGGACAATTCTAAAATTGTAACATCGATTCTAAAATGTTTGAATCTATCTCAAACCACTCATTTTGCTATAGCCTTGCCAGATTAAGTCTAACCATACTTTATTTTGTGATAACTTTCAAAAAATACAAGAAAAAGTAACTTGAGTTTTTCCTTAATATTTAATCTAATTAATTGACATTTCTTCTGTAATCTATCTGGCCAGTATTCTGCATTTCTGATGACAGCAGTAAAACAACTTTGAAATTTGCGGTAGTGTGTGTAATATATTTTTGTGTATTTATTATTTTTATCCATTTGCCTATGTAGTTACTTAATTATAGCTATTCAGACAAGGATTGAGGGCTTACCAGATGTTTGTAGGGCAGCTTTGGTCTCATATTAATTGAAAGAACACAAGTTGTTGGTGAAACCAGATTGATTTAGAAGTTTTGGGCTGTGGCCATCCACATCCCACAAGAGCTGTCCATTAGCCTGAAAATGATGTATTTGTCAAAGTTAGGAAAGATCGTTTTTTTTTTCTTTTCTTTTGTTTATATTTTATGTTCATTTGTACTTTTGAGTATGTACAGGTGGATATAGTGTTATATGCCCTTTCATGAAGTGAAAACATACCTGAGAGAGGCTATTTGGCCCCTGCCCTTCTTGAAACAGAACTGAAGTAGACGTGTTCAGAAGAGGGTGGTTGTTGGCTGAGCTAAAGGTGGTATTGGTTGTATCAGAAAATACTGTGGGCTGGGTAGAGCTACATTGCAACACATTTGGTAGGGGTGATGCCAAGCTGCTCAACTTCTAAATATCATGAGAGAGAGAGAGAGAGAGCATCAGCTTTCATCTAGAGAAATGATCACATAGAACCAAACAAGTAGATAAAGGAAATAATATTTGTTGTATGGAGTAGTTTACACAGATTGTTTTGTTTTACCTCAGGTTTAACCATGAGAGCATCAAAGTCCATTCCAAAGTCGTAGAACATGGGATTCATGAAACCAAGCTTCATAGAAAGGAACTGCAAAATGGAAACAGGCATAGAAGGATAGGATAAGTTGATGAAAATTACGTTTAGACCTCCTTAACTATGGCCTCGATTTCACTTTGCCCCTCAATTATTGAAGAATTACCTACCTCTACTTGATTTTGTAGGGACTGGACATAGTTAATTATTTCATCCAACATCAGGGCCTTTCCAGTCACCTATTTTTCAATCAAGCCACATGAAGCTGTCAGAACACCAACAAGCATTTTATTCTATAAAGAAAGACAGAGTGTTACAAAGAGCTGAACTGAAGCTGACCTTGTCGCACCCAGGAACAAGAGCTTGCAACAACTTCATCCTCTCACTTATTTTCTCTCTCCTCACCTGAAATCCATTTGCAGAAAAAAGAATGATTGTCCTGAGTCATGAATAGTTTGACATGATAAGAATTTAGATAATTATTGCTATAAAATCTGCTCTGTATGTGTGGGCATAATGGGCAGTTCTTGCCTTAAAATGTAAGAACTAAGAAGACAGTTCTAAATAGCTTGTAATAATGAATAGTATTAGTACCCTCTCTGCGAGGCTGTGACTGTCTGTTGCTTGGCCCCTCCTTGCTCTTACATGAATGTAGCCTATAGGAGCTTCTTCAGCAACTTTGTTCTTATCCTTTTTATCAGCTCTATGCTTCTTTTCTTCACCTTCTTTCATTCCACCATTGCTCATCTTTTGCTTCTTCCCTTTCATTACTCTTGCACCCTAGCAAAATGAGCCATCAAGTAGCAAGAAAACTACAAATCAAATCTAATATAGCCTAAGAGAAGAGTGGATTTCGGTTTTGGTATCATACTAAAATTTATACTTAAATAAGGGTTAGTTAAAACAAAATAGATGTTAGGGTCAATTTCGAAGAATTCTCTTTTTGTTGGGATCTGATTAGATTGAGTCATAATCTTGCTCTTATTTTATAGTTTTTTTTTTCCTTTTTTTGAGAAGGGGGAGGGGGAAGGGGTCTGAACTCTTGACATTAAGAAGGTAAAATTTTCACAAAATAAAGAGTACCACTAGACTAAAGTTCCGTCGATAATACTCTTATTTTATAGTAACTTTTGATACTATACTTCTTTAGTTGGAGTACTACCTAGTAATATAGAATAAGAACATATAAAATTTAAAACAAATTAAGAACCACCAACATGCCAAAAAAAAAAAAAAGAAGAAACCACATAATTCAAGACAAATTTTACTGTAATTTACCTTAGACTGAGCAGAACTCAAAGAAGAGCCATCCGCGCACCTCCTCTTCTTCTCCATAGGGGTCAGCTTCTGAGTGACTTGTTCACCACTCTCTAGTTTATCAATGACTGATGAGGAATCTGGGCTATGTTTGTTTGTCACAGAGGGTTCATTATTGCTAAGAGCAACTTTTGTGCTATGCTCAAAGCAGCTACTTTCAGGGACACTAAATTCCTCAGCAATATCCCGAAGAGTTTCAGGTTGGTATAAATGATAAAAACAGGTAGGGGTGTTGTTTGGTTCCTCGGAAAATCCAGGAAACTTAAAGGGAGTGTTTGGCATGAAAAGAGAGTCAAGAAGAAAAGGTTGCTGGTATGAAAAAGCTGCCATTTGAATGCTTTGGAATTGGAAATGGAAGAAGGCTTCAGGAAAGTGATGGAAGAGAGAAGAGGAATGGTTTGTTCACTTTGTTGATATTTGGACGCAGAGGTATCAGTCAAGGAAAAGGGTGGGTCTGAGACAATCTAGCAAGGCCAGGTTTAAATAAACATGAAGAGAGAAATAGGACAACAAAAAATGCTAAAATCCTATACAGCTCATCCCCATGCAAGTTTCTTTACATTTGACTGCTCTCTCTTTTTTTTTTCAACTATGAAAGTATTTAGATCAGATTACGTGTGTATTTTGAGTAATTTCTTCTCCGATTTAATCAAAAACATGTCATTTACGCTAAAAATTAACTTATTTATGAGGAATAAATCTATCATAATTTTGTCCTATGTGATTGCCCTTCGAGTTCTGCTCCTCAATTTCTCTATAAGTCAAATTTTTATTTTTAATACTTGATAATATGTCTAAGATAGAGTAACATTAAAATTATTTATACATAAATATATATAATCACACATTAATTATAAGTATGGCTTAAACTCGAGAGTTTCCTGCAAAATTTAAATGTAAAACATCGAAGTTTACGATCACGTGGGTAGTATGCCAAAAGTTTTTTTTTTTTCTTCTCAGAAGGTTGTTTGGTGTGAAAAATTGAAGGCATGGGAGGGTAGGGTTGTTAAAGATCTTTGCTTATCTCTGTAGACAAGACCATGTCCTCCAGACTGAACAACTTATGGCTACATGTCATTTAAGTCTTGTGGTCCTTGATTTATTGCACAGTGACAGCATCGTTGACTCATCTGTAAATTTATTGATTTAATTTATTAATTTAAAAAATTATTGCTATTGTGCTGATAGTCAACTCTAATCTTAGTTAAAACTCGTTATCAATTAATAATTATTAATAAATTAGATCAATAAATTAAATTTGAATATTTATTTTCTTATTTGAGTTTATTAAATATATCTTTACTAATAAGATAGGACTCATTTTGAATCTTTTTCTACTTTAAAATTTAATTTATTTGGAAAAGCATAAGAACGGCTCAGATTAAATCCACTTTTAATTCAAAGGCCCACATTTTCATCTCATTTCTTTCATTTCAATCCAATGGCTTGTAATGCATCTCAACCCAAAAAAAAAATCCCGCCCATTTTGAACCCAAACACACGCCACTCCCAATTATATGTTGCTTACCCATGCCAGGTAGTCTGCATTACTCAGTAGCAAGAGGGTGTTTTTAATCACAACGGGTGAACCTTTGTAGATAATGAATAAGAAGTAAATTTTGATGTTTTCGAATTTAAAACTTAAGTAACTTTTTTGTACTTCACTCACACTCGATTTATTTAATAAGTTGTGTTGTATTGAATTAGTGTCGTGTATAATCGAATCGTACCGAATTTTTCTTTTAATTTGTTTATTAATCGTATCGTGCCGGATATACATCTATGAAACGCGTGGCTTAAAGAAAACTCAAATCTTTTAACTTCGTGTAATTTTAACACCCTTAATTATAAGTTTTAGTGAAATTCATTTACGGACTTATTTACTTATTAGTAAACAATTATATCACGCACTTTTTAATGGTCCTATTTTCTAACTTATTTACATTTACGGACTTATTTCTAACTTTATGGTAAATTAGAGTTTTAATCTAATTTTTCGTTACGCCGTGCCTTCAGGCACGGGCAATTACTAGTTTTTGATATAAAATGCCTCATATGACTAGCAAATAAGAATAATTCTATGTGCACTAAAATTTGTACTAAATTAATTGTAGTCATTGGATTAAATTAGCGATGAACCCATCCATTTGCAATTGATTTGGTATAAGTTGTGGTACACATTTTTTGTGTACATAGCAATAGTCAACATATAATGATATTCTTGGTCTGTGGGGGCCATTTTGGATTGCACAGCCACTGTTCACAGGGGGAGATTTTATTTTATTTTATTTTTATAGAGTATTGATATTCGCGTTAATTATTCTCTCAAGTTCAAATGTGAATCTTTATAGTCTGAACAGGTTTAGAACATATCCCCTAAAAAATAATGATGGTTAATCCTTTGGAGAAATTGAGAACTGTTGAATCTGAGATATTTGAATTATTAAAGTTCAAATTTAACCACTAAATCACCCCTAAAAATTTATTTAGGGAGAGATTTTTATCAACGTATGACCGTAAAACTCTTGCTTGAGCAATTCTTTAATGCCACAATTGAAATCTGCCTTGATTAGGGCCTCGATTGATCAACACCACTTTTGACGATCCTTTTTTACCATCTAATCTTCTACTATACATAATGCATAAACTAGTAAGAGAAGGCTCTTAACATGTTTTAAGCAATGCAAAATTGATACCCCGTGCATGCCTCATGAACTGAATCCATTTTCTTCACAAATAACTGGCACTTTACTTTCTTTTGACTATATGATATTATGTCTTAGATGTTATAGGTTCGAATTATGAAAACGGTTTCTCTATTTGTAGAAATAAGACTATGTTCATTTAATCTTTTATAGAATTCACAATAACGAGAGTTTCGTACCCTGGTATACTCATATGATGCTTTTAGACCAAGCTGGCTAAATGATGCTCAGTTGTTAGAAAACATATAAAAAACAAAGAACATATGAGAAAGTGTTATGATCAGAAACACCTGGATAGAGGAAAAAGGACACACACACAGATACAAAGCACCATGCCTAATGGCAGAGGTTGTGGATCTGATTGCGCCTGCAATGATCTCTCTCTCTCTCTCTCTCTCTCTCTCTCTCTCTCTCTCTCTCTCTCTCTGGTAGCGTGGAAGGATTTAAAGGATTACAGTGATAAATGGGTTAATACAAATTTACTTAAATATAACACGGATTAGGATAAATATAATTTATATACAATACGAATCAAACATGACATAACTCACTTATAAAAAATTAAAACCAATTGAGTCATCAGAATCTGTGTTTTAACAAATTTGAGACGACACCACCCATCAAGGGCGGAGACACGTTCAAGGGTTTTGGTTGACACTTAGATTTGTAGGGTTAGAAATCTCATGACCAAAGTAAAATTAATACAATTCTATATAGTACTCTAGTTCTTTTTCACTGTCAATCATCTCATAACCCAAATAAATAAATATTTTACATTTGGACAGAGTAAAATACATGTACAATACCGTGATTTGTATATTGATCAAGGGCCATAATTCTCTTCTATTTAATATATTATCCCTATTTTTTTCGGCACAATTACTCTTTTTTAATAAGTTAGAAGTCGTAACCTAGTAAAATACTGTTAGATGGAACGGGTAAATGGTTCTGATCCAAAAGTATTTTTTTACTCTTTCCATGAATTAACTCACCGTGATCAAAGATATAATCCAACGAAATTTCAGATATAATCAATCAAATATAAACAACTTTTAAATTGAAGAAGATCATATTTCACTATAATTTGTCGTTCAATCTTTGATTTTTTGTCATATTTTATCCCTTTCCACATATAATCCTGACTCCGCCCCTGATGACATGCGTATTTAATACATTACAACACAAAACCATTAACAGTGTTACAGAGTGGATTTAGTTGCCCACTCTATCTACCCATGGGTACAACTTCAAGAGCTTGTGCTCAAAGACATGTTCCACGACAGTTCCATGTGAATTTCAAGTCAAATGCAATACGAAAGCATGTGTACACAGTCATGCTGACCCAACCAAACCTAAAGTGTGCAGTGACAAAATTAAATAGTAACAAATAAAATAGAAGCATACAATAACTTAAAGAATTAACATGGTTTGACCTATAAAACTTACATTGACGAACCAAATTCTCAGGGTGACTACTCCTTATTTTTTTTTTTTGAGTAACTACTACTCTTTATTGATTCCTAACACTTCATGAACGAGTTACACTCTATACATAGAGTGACGATAGATTTTCATTTTATTGAGATAAATAAGAATCTGACTGTGGTCTACTTGAAACATTAGTGATTAAGAGGGGCGGAGCCATGAATATCTATGAGGGAATAAAATATAATTGACACAAAAAAATAATTAGCTGAAATTGATATAAAAAAATTCAGTTCAAGAATGACAAAACAAATAAGAATCAAGACAAAATTATTGTGAAATTGTAAATTCAATTTCTATTTAGCCGAAATAAAATCTTAACAAAAAGACACAAAATAATTTTTTTGGTACATTTTAACAAAATTATAAAAGTCTCTAAAATTTTGTATATGAATTAAATGTAAATTAATTTTTCACAGTCCATCCTGGTCCCCATGTGGCTCCGCCCATGGTGATAAGTAGAAGGGACGACGTAATTCTCATTCATCCAAGGCTGCAAAAGTAGAACATTATTTGATGTTTTTGCATCAACAACATAAAGGGGTATGATATCCTTCAATTCCTCAATCTTTAATTCAAGAGGTACACTGCCAAGAGACCTCTGCCTACTTTGGTTAAATCTTTGGGTAAATCTATTGCTCGAGGCCAATCGATGAATAGTAATCCCGAGACGTTTTAACATTCTCAAAAATAGGAGATTCACAGCTGAACCCCTATCTATCATGATTCTTGTTATCTCATATCAACTCATCCCAATCTTTAAGGAAGAGATCGACGATCTCAAATACTTTTATCCCATTTACACCAAAATGTAAATGGGATTCATTTCCTCTTCTTGTTCATGCAAAATGACTGATGTCATCTTCTCGTGTAATTCTATGGTACCTAAAAAAAAAATGGGTACCGTACCAAAAGTTACTATTTTTGGAGGTCAAATTACATTTTTTAATTAAGGTAAAATTACAACTGCTTAAGTTAACTTCATGATTATGGTCTATTTACCTCTAGCAGTTGTAACTTCATATTTAAAAAGTGTAACTTGACCTAAAAAAATAATAATTTTACCTTTTAAAGTTGTTATTTCTATCATTTTTTCAATTGTAACTTTTATCTTCAAAAGGTATAACTTGACCTCAAAAAAATGTGTAAATTTCACTACTTCGGTATCCCAGTACCGTAGTCTTCCTCTAGGTTGTCATATTTTCTTTTCTTTTTTTGACTAAATTCTCTAGAGAAGGAAAAAAAAAATTCAGCATTTTTAACTTCATATAGCAATTTTAGGTGGTGTACATTAACT